ATCAAAAATCTCCTATGAACATTTCAAAGATACTGGTCATGTCAAATTGAGTAAATATATGATCATTTTTCTTTATCTGATATCGGCTTTCGACTGCTTGCGATCAGTTAGATTTTATTTGTTAGCGAAAATCGATGTTTTTTTTTTTATTTTACACTAGTTATTGTGTGATGTTAGATTGATGTGATTATTTCATATTTTGTGTTCCTAGCTCAGAAAATGAACTTCCATATAAATGTTCATCTCTCTTAGGAGTGAAATTTACAAAAATCATTTCTTAAGTAACATATTGGGTGCAAAATTTCAAGTTTTCACTAGGCATGCCTTTTAAGTTATGTCGTTTCCATATTTCCCGGCAATTTTAAATTTATAACTGTTCTATATTCGAATGTGTTTAAATTTTGAATCTCAAAACAGTTGAAAGTATTAGGATTAATGCTATTGTTTAGTCACAGCGTCGATTGGAATCTGTCAGGTTACGTACAAAAATGAGTTTTAATTTTCTACAACTTTAGAAGAGGCCTGACACGGCTTCAGTGTTTTTAAGAGCTAACATCTGTGTTCAGTGATGAAGCCCCATGTCTGCGGACTGTCGAACGCTGATATTTAGAATTCCAGCGTATACATACTAGTGTTAGTGACATAACGCGAAGGACGCCCAAAATCCGCCTTCACTGAAGATAACATCATTGCTGTGAGGCAACTAATTCTCGAAGATCGTCATGTGACGTATCGAGAGCTCTATTAGGCATCTCAGGGACAACCATTCAGAAGATCTTGCATGAAGCGCTTGGTGTGAGAAAGCTAGTTTGCCGTTGGATACCGCATCTGCTTTCCGACGATCACAAGGCGGCCCGCGTCAGATGGTGTAAGAAAACTCTGCAAAGGTTCAACCGAGGAGAGTCAAATCACGTCTACGACAACATCAGTAGTGACGAATCTTGGATCTATGGCTACGATCCTGATTCCAAACAACAATCTATAATCTGGGTCTTTCAAGACGAGTCAAAGCCGACTAAAGTTGTTCGTTCTCGAAGCACTTCAAAGAAGATGGTACACGTTCGTTGGAAAAACCGGCCATGTTGCGACTATTGCACTTGAAAATCGTAGAACGGTTAACGCAAAATGGTATACCACAGTTTGTTTACCACAAGTCATTGCCGAACTTAGAAAATCTAGCTGAAAGCGACGCATCATCCTGAACCACGACAACGCAAGCTCACACAGCGCTCGTCAAATGATTGAGTATTTGAAGCAGGAAAAAGTAGAAATTCTTGACCATCCTCCATACAGTCCTGACCTAAGCCCTAACGATTTCTTTACATTTCCTAAAATTAAGAAGAGTCTTCATGGTCAAAGGTTCCAGTCCCATGAAGAAGCAGTCGACGCTTTCAAGTCAGTCATTTTGAACACCCCCGCTTTAGAGTGGAATAAATGTTATAATAACTGGTTTGAGCGAATGGTGAATTAACTACTACTACTAAAACAATAAAAAGTACTATAAGGTTCTAGTTGTATTTTTTTCTTCAATCGACAAAACTTAAAAGGCATGTCTCGTAGCCACAGCGTTTTAGGCTCTGCGTTAATGAATTAATTAGTCAGGGTAAGTAATTTTATATGTATACTAGCTGACCCGCGCAACTTCGTCTGCGTCTCTCAATAGTAATAAATTTTCTCCGTTTTTGAAACATTCTTCATTGGTGCTCCGCTCCTATTGGTCTTAGCGTGATGATATATAGCCTATAGCCTTCCTCGATAAATGAGCTATCTAACACTGAAAGAATTTTTCAATTCGGACCAGTAGTTTTTGAGATTTGTTTGTTTAAACAAACAAACAAACTCTTCAGCTTTATAATATTAGTATAGATTTATACGTTGTTTACTTATTTGTTATGTTGTTGTTATGTGTTGTACTTAAATTAATGGAATCAAACAAAGCTTAACCAAAAAGTGTTAAATAGGTCTTGGGGTTACAAGAAAAGTCGTGCTAGATCCGTTAAGGGCGTGGAGTACCCATCATTTCTGACATATTTCACTATGAAACACCCTACCCTAAACTTAACCCTTTTCGAGATAATCGTCTTTTAATTTTTTTATTGAAATTTGCTGATTTTTAGGCTACTACATTTATTTTTGTTTATTTTGTGTATCTTATTATTATTATTTTTGCATTTTTACATGTGTAATTAGATGCTTTAGGACGTCAGTCATTAAAATAGTTCATAAGTTAATTGAATAGATCGTAGTAGACAAGTGAAAGTAAAGAAATAAAAAAAAATATTAGAAAATTATTTTTCTCTAACGGATATCTAAAAACAATATTATGGTAATTGTTCGGCAGATGTTTTTTAAAATATCTACGTTTCATCAGCTATCTAACGAGGTATAACAATCTAGGGTTTGTATTACATTTCGTGGAAAAAAAGTAGTTGGGACGCTTCAGGTAACAGTTCTAACGGTCCCGCGCCTATTGTCCTTCAAGTTAAGAAGCACCAAGCGAGCGAGACAAGTGACGATTTATGTAGGTGCGAATGAAAGAAAAAATGTGTAGAGACCGGTTAGGGCTGGGAATACAACAGGGGGCACTGTTTGGTTGTCACTAGTTGTCAGTCTGCTTTTGTGCTTCGTACATAGTAGATGTGATATCGTTTTGCTCTTTTTCTCCACTTGGCTGTGATTCTGGACTATTTCTTCTCATTTGTGACTACTGTGCTTGTTAACCGGACTCTGATTTGTACCTGTGATACGGAAATGTTGAAGATGACGTCCTACACACCTGAGGAATATGCTGATATGCTTATTTGTTACGGATACTGCGATTGTGTGTCTGCGCAAGCTCGCAACGAATACATAACTCGCTACCCCGGTCGTCGAGTGCCGGATGTGGCCGTTTTTGACAGAGTTTATCGAAGACTTCGAGAAACTGGCTCTGTTTTGAGACGAAATACAGACATGGGAAGACCACGAATTGACGACGAAGAACAGGACAATGAGATAGTGCAACGCTTTCGAGCGGATCCGACTACTTCCACTAATATTGTTGCTCGTGATCTGGGACTTTCGCAATGGAGAGTGTGGTTTACAGTGCATACTGCTGGCCTATACCCGTACCATTACACGCCGGTACACGTTATTGAAGAAGGAGACCCCGCGAGAAGATTGGACTTTTGCAGATTTATGCTAAATGCTGACGTAGAAGACCCAGATTTTCTAAGAAATATCTTGTGGACGGATGAGTCCAAATTTGATAAAGATGGCATAACTAACTATCACAACGCCCATTACTGGGCCCCAAAAGAACTAAGGAATCCCAATAAGAAAAGAGTGAAGGGGTCCCAACGAAGATTCAGCGTGAATGTGTGGATGGGCATTATCTCCAATCATTTGATTGGACCTTACTTTCTCCCGGATAATCTAAATGGGGAAAGCTACGAAAATTTCCTGAGAGCAGACTTGAGTGATTTGCTGGATGATCTGCCACTCAACCTGATCAGGGACATGTGGTTCCAACACGATGGCTGCCCTGCCCATTTCAGGAGAAGTGTCAGGGACTGGCTGGACACAAATTATCCAAACAAATGGATAGGACGAGGTGGGCCGTTGCCATGGCCAGCAAGAAGTCCGGACCTAACCCACATGGATTTTCATGTGTGGAGGTGCATGAAAAGTCTTGTGTACAGCGAGCCGAATCCAGTTTCGTCTGTGGAAGACTTACGAGAAAGGATTGTGGATGCAGCAAAAATAAAATGAGGACCACGTTGACCACTGGAGTAGTGAAGACTGGTCTCCGTAGAAGGATGCGACAATTTATCAGAAATAGAGGCGGCCATGTTGAACATGAACTGTAGAATAAGAAAAAGTTGTGTGAAAACCTTTAATAAATGACATTTCATGCTTAACTATTGTTTTATTTTACTTTTTTGGGCTAAGTATAAATTTTCTTCTCCACTGTCGCCTATGAAACTAAAGTTTTTTCAATGCATTTGAATAAAACCTTAGATTATTATACCTCGTTAGATAGCTGATGAAACGTAGATATTTTAAAAAATATCTGCCGAGCAATTACCATAATATTGTTTTTAGATATCCGTTAGAGAAAAATAATTTTCTAATATTTTTTTTTATTTCTTTACTTTCACTTGTCTACTACGATCTATTCAATTAACTTATGAACTATTTTAATGACTGACGTCCTAAAGCATCTTATTACACATGTAAAAATGCAAAAATAATAATAATAAGATACACAAAATAAACAAAAATAAATGTAGTAGCCTAAAAATCAGCAAATTTCAATAAAAAAATTAAAAGACGATTATCTCGAAAAGGGTTGAGTTTAGGGTAGGGTGTTTCATAGTGAAATATGTCAGAAATGATGGGTACTCCACGCCCTTAACGGATCTAGCACGACTTTTCTTGTAACCCTGTATAATTAAATAATATTGTGTACAAAAAATGTTTGTTTGATTTTGATTAATTGCACAAATAATCAGCTTTCATTGAGAGGGTTGTTTTTATTATTATTCTATATTTGTCTGCTTTGAAACTGACAAATAAAGAATAATTTTATTAATAATGTCATAAGTTAGAAATTGCAAATCAGTGGCACTTATTTCAAATTGTAAAACATTACATTTCAATTTGAAATTTTTAAAATTATTTGGTCACATAGCTGACAAATAAACGTTTTAGTGCCTCATTCTTTTGCTAACGATCAGACGTAAAGATAAAAGAAGTAACAAACGTGTTATATAAATTAATTATTATCACCCTCAGCCTAATTTTGAAAGCTTAATAAACTCAGGACGATTGTCGTCCACTACACGAGCCGCATCGATATAAACATGTCATCTTTAAACTCAAGAATCGATTATGAGCCGCTGTGATAGGATAATTAACAACACTCATTCTGCAATCGTACGCGGCCAAAGAGGATCCAGTGCATGTTCATTGTGTTAGTGATTAAAATATAATAATTTATTTACTTTAAGTACTCTACCATGAAGGTAAGTAATTTAGGAATCAAAATATGTTATGGTTTAAATTATTAAGGTGTACACGTTGTAGCATGTTTTTGAAGTGAGGGTACGTAAAACTGGTGTATTTCAATGATAATAGATAGACATAAAGTAACATTTAAAATACAATATACAATAATTTAAACTTAAATAATTTGTTATATTATTAATCTGCGAAGTTTACAGTAAGTAATAATAAGCATTCTGAAAAAATTAAATAAATATTTATTTTCTTATTTCAACTTCTCTTCACTATCATTTAAAATATTATATTCAGTTTCTATCTATGATCATGTATTTTATAAACGTACTTAGTTTATTTCTAGTGTTTAAAATTGAATATAATTAAACCTACCCACGATTGAAATGAAGCTGTATAGCAAAATTATGTTTGATAACACGCCTTTCTCAAAACAGGTTTGTTTTCTAGTATTTTTAGCAGTAATTTTTTTTAAGATCTACGTTATCTCATAATAATGTATTGTATCCCGTATGTAGTTGCTTGTGCTATCACATTTTAAAGTCAACCTCTGACCACAAGCAGTGCAACCTGACAGAAACGTCAGGTGATTTTAAATACCTATGTACCAATTAAATATCTTAAATGAGACTATCGCGTTAATGCCCATCCATTAGCATATTTATTGCATATTGACAACGGCGGTTGGTGGAAAATATACATTCAGAAATGTCTGTTATAATCTCTACTGTCAACACAAAAACAACAAGTCAATCCGTTGATGACTACAATCGAAAATCTATAATATTTATGAAAATACTAGCTGTAACCTTTTTTTTATTAGATTGAAGGACTAACCTTTTTATATTAAGTCCGGCATTATAGCTCCCCTTTTGATAAAAAAATATTTGTTCATTAAAAATTATCATGAAGTAATGTAATGTCTATCTTATCTAGTTAAATTCACATGGCTACACTTTGTCCAAATCTCATGTCGTTGAGAACAACACACAAAATGTTTATGACAATGTTTTTTTAGTAACACTGTAAATAATGAGCTTAATCAATAAAAGCAACAGGAGTAAAACCTTTGATTTACATTTGTCAAGTTGTCATAGTCAGGCCAGCTTCGGGTCAGAGAATCAGATTGCATCGGTATTATTTCGACCTATGTCATCCAAAATCGCTCGCATTCACGAGAACTTACATATCATTTTAGCAGAATATAAACAAGTGATATAATTATTTAGACTACTGGCTAGATAGTTATATTTTTAGATGAACAGTCATTCCTGTGATGCTCTCTTTGATTTCACTTGTTTTTATACAATCACAGAACAAAATTTTTCATTATCTTAAACGATGTACCTACATAACTTTATAAAAAGAAGAAGAAAATCAAACAATTAACAAAAAGCGTCTTTAGTATTTCTTGAATGAGCCTCTGTAATACTGCTGGTTGTTTCGTTCCTCATAATAATATGTTCCTCTTTGTAATAAGTGTATTTTATAACTGTATTTTATAACTTACCCACAAACAGCTGTTAAAATAACGTTTGTAAGGGTATAACTTCAAACAATTCGCCAACGTTAAATGTTTGTTAGTACATAAGTACATTTCGTAAAGAAGCGATAATCTGATAAGGCGACCACATTCCGACGAGACGAGATTCATTTAACAATTTTAATCTTCGCGTTAAAGTTTACCGTCAACCATCAACAACAAAATGTTAACATTTAAATGTAATCAATAAGGAGGACGTGCAGTTTGAAAATAATTATGTGTAATAGAACTATTCTCAAAATAAACAGAACGTTTTCTTTGATCATTTTCATGACTGTTTAAGGAATACTCAAGGCGATGAACTTGTAAAACTAAATATAAATCCACACTCAAAACAGGAATATCTCTGTGCAGGCTAGGCAATCGTACTCCATATACCTATATTTTAAATTCGTGTCATAATTTAGAGGAGAAACATTTAAAATAACACGTTTACACATTGGAACCCTTTCTAATCTATATGTACTTAATATCGACATAGGCTAACTTAGGCTTCTTATCCGGTAAAAAATGAATGACAATTTAAAAATTAACACCACACGGGCAAATCTAGTACTTTACGAACCTGTTTGTTGATTTATTTTTTCTTACCTCAAAACTACCTGCTCGATTTCGGTTTTAAACCTATTTAGACTTAAGTACTTTTTAATGAAGGATACTGATTAACCACAAGGGAAAAAGCCTCAAAATATGTATATATATAAATATACAGACCTATTTCTTAGCGTTCTATGGATTCACTGTTATAATATGTTAATTAAGTTCGTAATTACGATTATTGTAATTTTTGTTTAAATAAAATGTAAAAATAAAAAAAATGATGAAAATAGATCATTTTTATGTTAATACGTGGGTGGTAATCTTTTGAACTATTAAGCCTACTCTACTGAAAATGCCCCAGAGAGAAGAAAAAAAATTCTAACTTTTAATGATACTATTCGATTCACGTATACACCACTACCTACTTGATTTGTTTGGATACGAACCGGACACTTCCATTAAATCCATAAATCAGGGTTTTCCCCTTGAGAAAATATTATTCCCGTACAAACAGATAACAATTTCTCAGAAAATCACGAAATGTGTTAGATTAAAAAGAAACGAAGAGTAACCTTCGTTTATCATTAAAATTTCCTTTTTTATCAATGAAGCTATGCTATTTAACTAACCTAGGAGACTCCTTTGATTTTTTTTGTTGAAATCTCACTAGTAATAGGTTGTGGCTTCGTTAGCCGGAGATATATTGAAACCAGTACTTTTCTCCTGGATGAGAATTACTCTTTCATGTTTCGTGCAGCTGATACCATTTTGTTCTCGAGAGTAAAATTATCGGTGTTAGTATGTCAAAAACTACTTTTTCATGCTTTTTTCTGCTGCTCCCTATCCAGAACCTTTTAAACGGTCAACGATGTCTTAGGGAACTGCCAAGAATCTGTCTAGAGATGGTAAGTAAATCTATTTTCCTAACGATACAAAAAGCTACAAAAGAAGTTACTACTACCTACCTAGTACTATACTTATAATGCAAAAGGAATATATGACCATAAGATCTCTTTGTACCACGCGCATTAGCAGAAAGATTAATGTCACCTTGGAAATGATTTTTTTTACAAATATGCTCTTCATTTAAAGGTTTTAATATTAAATATTAGAATTCATACTTCTTGCTTTACTATTTTCTTATTAATATACAAAAAATAATAATTACAAATGCAAAGATTCCAAACTTAAGCGTTACTAATGTTATTAAAACAGCTATCATTTTAAATCTTAACACAATAGAAACTGCAAAACTATTAGTTATAGAGCGCAAAATTATTAGTTATAGAGCGCAAAATCGCAGTTAAACAACTTTTTTATAATTGTAAGCAAACAGAAGAAGCGAAGCAATAAAACACGTGTAATAAAAAAACAATAGCAGGAAACGGCTACTAATGACAAAATAAGAAACAGTCTGTTCGTTATTGTGCGAATTACTTAAAACCACTGGTCCAATCTACGTGATTAGTTAAAATATGGCTGCACCTTTTTTTGTTGACATTGTGGATACTCCCTTCGGATCTCTTGCTCCTCGGAGTCTCAGGAGTCTGGAGTATATGGTGATTCCACTACTAAACACACGACTTTGATAGAAACATAGCATTTATTAACAAAGCGAGTGAGAACATAACATCAGCTTTTGTACATTTTGTCGTTATAATTTTTGAGCAGCGTTACAACAAGTCTTTCTACAGAACTTCGATATTTAAGTATTTGGGTTGTGGAGGTCTGATAGCAGTTGTAAAAAAATCGTAGTTCAGCCGTATCGTAGTAGACTTAAAAGCCGACCCCAACCTAGTTTGGGCAAGAGGCTTGGAGGAAAATAGCTTTTTGTAGTAGGTAAACAAATAGAATATATAAATATAACCCTAAATAACAGAATATTACTTACCTATCTTATTTACCAGATTTTGCAAAAAGCATTAGGCTCGGCGCAATGACTTTTCTTTTTCCATTCTCCTCTCTCACTAGTCTGTTTACTACTTACTTTTTTCTCCTACATCCTCTTTTACGCAGTCCATCCATCTTTTCTTTGGTCATCTACTCTTATATTCGTTAACTTCCAGGCATAACAGTTTCTTCACATTTCGCTCATCTCTACGCGTCACATGTCTAATGTCCTTGCTAGGATAACCTGTTGCTCCTCAACTTTTATCCAAAGCCGCAACTTTCAGGCTTCCTCTAATGTACTCGTATTCATTGCTCACCTTGTCGATAAAGTTGTTATATTCTTGGAAGTAAATATACCTAATATTGCAGAATAATTATAGAGCGTATGAGAACTTTCGTATCAATAGGTTTTACGCATCAGTTATACAGTAACATAGCTGAGCTGACACATTGTGTAATGTTTGGTAAACGACCATAGCGACTTCCTTTGGCAAATGATAACGCACTTTTATCGCGCTTCTATAATTAACTTTAATCTACTCCTATGGATACCTACAACTACTAAAATACTGTTAAAGTCCTGTACTCCTCTGTGGGAAGCGTAAAGGATCCAAATTTCACACTTATTTATTTATTATTTATATTTTTTAACTTTTTTTTCATTTCACTTAAATAAATTTAAATATTAATTTAATTTAAAAAGTTCCAATCGACTTTAACTAACCTATAATAAGCCGTATTATTCATCATTCTTAGTAGTAGAATAATTTCTTCAAATTTAAATAGTATTAAGCAACCCATTTAATTAAAAAAATATTTAATATAATTTTTGAAAAGAATTTTTGCTTGATTGATAAATTCCTTAGCGACGAATTAAACTCGCTCCTACTAATACGCTTGTTAAACATGTGACATTCGACGACATTTAACTAAATAACTGTGGAATTTAACATCATTACATGCTACAAAAAGATATAATGGCTTCGAGTGGGTAATAAATAGACGCATCTGTTTTAAACTCGAGATAAAATGTGA